ATATCAGAACAGCATCTAAAAGCAGTGCCCTGTTCGTTCATGTTAGGAATAATAATCATCCCATTGTTTGGGAAAAAAGCTTAGAAGTATTCAAATCATCTTGTGTCACAGAAAGACTTCTGGTTGAAGCTAGTTTGATTAAGGAATAAAATTCAATAAACCTTAGTGATGGTCAATTCAAAACTGATAATATGTTACATAAATTTATTTGTCAGTGGCCCAAGGTTAAAAATGCTTTGAAAACCTGGGATCTAGACGTAGGATAGTTATTAGTGGGTCCCTTATTTTTTACCTGACCTGACTAGTCTCGTCGCCCCCTTCTCTTCAGCTCCTCTACGTGTGTGTTGGTGTTGGTGTGGGGATTAGTGGATGACATCATTATGACCTGACCTCATGTTTAATAAGGTCACCCTGTATATTTAAGCCTCTCTCTGTCCATGTAATCCAGTTGTCTCTGAAGATGTCTTGAATAAAGACGAAAGCTAAGGTGCTCCATTGTTTCCCTTTTCCCGTGTGATTTTATCAAGATCTATCTTATCCACGTTTTCATTGTCGATCTACATGAAATATATATATATATATATATATATATATATATATATATATATATATATATATATATATATATATATATATATATATATATATATATATATTTGATTGAAGACCTATCACATCATACGCTAAGGAGAAAGAAAAATCCGCAAGACTTTTTGAGAATTCCGCTCACAAAATTCCAGATACTCAGATGAAGGATTATTTACCTTATATAGTGGTTCTGGAGATTACTTAGCTTGCTTACTTAAGACATACATGAAAGACTGACGCATAAATGAACTCGATATTGCTTTGTGTACGTGTGTGTGGTTGTGTGAGAGAGAGGGAGAGATGAGGAAATCCTGAATGCAAAAATAGTATTCATTATCCAACCAGACGTTAATGACACTTGGGTGTATATGAAAGGCCAGTAGGTGCGTCACTCACCCTTCACTTGTCCGTTTGAAATGTTAACCACAGGATCGTGTAGCCCCGGGTACAAGAATACACGATACAGGGTTTATGCATTATTCAACTGTACCATGATAAAATATTGGCGACCTGGGTGACCGTTCACAGATAGTTTATCGTGAGGCAGGTGTTAGTACAGTATATTGCTGTGGTTGCTGTGAATGTACACACACAAACACACACACACACACAAGCTCTCTCTCTCTCTCTCTCTCTCTCTATCATATACACATGCATACATACATACATTCTCGTATTCAAGTACATACAACACCTGCAGTTCCTTGGTTGGGAAACATCAAGATCAAATCAATTTTACGTATTGCCCATCGCGTCCAGTTTCTTTCAGACCACGCCGACGCACGCTGGGGAAAATTCACCCAGGCACTGTATCCACCGACCTCTTGGTGACCTTGTGAAGCCCCGCCACACCACCGCCCCGGAGATGTCGACTGAGAAAAATATCACTCGTTCACCTTGAAGTCCAATTCGAGACTCACCTGTCACCTGCCCTAACTTAACCGAATTTAACCGAACCTAAACTAATCTAATTTAACCAAATCGAACTAAGCTTACCTAAATTTAGTCTGACGTAACCTAGCCTAATCTAACTTAACATATCCTAACCTAATCTTACTTAACCTACCCTAACTCAATCTAACTTAAACTAACCTAATTTAACCTAACTTAACTAAGCTAACCTAAAATAACACAACTTGAATAACTTATTAACCAAACGTAACGTAACCTATCCTAATCTAACGTAATCAAAGTAATCATTACTTAACTAACCTAACCTAACCAAACCTAACCGAATTATGAGACTAAAAATAGTTAAAAAAATAAGGATTCAATGTACGTGTATTGATGCGTACGGTAAGTTTGTGTACAGAGAGGAATAGAGGAAAAAAAATCTTTCAAGATAAAGATAGAATCTACTGTACAGGATAGAAGGTGAAGGTGGGTCCCATGGGCGTGACGGCGCTTTTGGGAGAGTAAGGACAGAACACACTGTTTACTTAGCCTTCGGTACACAAGGAGGCGCTCAACTTAAAAAAATAGCTGTCCATTTATGCCTGGGTTAACTTTGAACGACAAATTGGATAGAAGGTGAACGCTGTGTTTAATTGAATCTCCAAGTTATATCAATTGTGAATAAACATTCTACCTTAAATAAACTATCTTAAGCAAACTTTCTGATGTAAGTTTTCATTCTTAAGTAAAGTTTCTGACGTGAGGTAAACTCAACCTTGAGTAAACTAGAACACACACACACACACTAACACACAGACACCCGGGGATCCGTAGTCAATAGTAAAACCAAGGCGCACAACCTTGGGACCCTTGTAATATGTAGGTAAAGGTTCTGGTCTCTAACTGCATCCGTTTTGGATCATGGCTGGAACAGACAGACAGACAAACATACCCGCGGAAAGATACGCCCTTTTATTATTAGTATTAATATATATATATATATATATATATATATATATATATATATATATATATATATATATATATATATATATATATATATATATATATATATATATATATATATTGTATATATATATATATATATATTAGGGTGGTCCAAAACTATATGGTAAAAAATATAAGTAGTAATATATTGCCTCCACAAGCCTTAAAATTGTCCATTTGGTTCATAGATAAGGTCTGTAAAATTTTATCCATATTCATTAACATTTAGAGGTCAATCCATTTTGCATATTATACTTGTAGTGTAGGACTGAATTTTCTTGTCCGCATGATACAGTCTTAATATACACAACACATTATATTGGGTATATTTCAATGAATATAGCCTAGTTGCCTATTTGGAAAGGGCAAAGAGTCAAGTATTGAGTCATAGGGACTGACAATGACAGGTTGAAACAGGAAACACAGACAAGGGTTACCATTAATCAGATGAAGTTACTTATTTCATTTATATCTCATCAGTTCTACAATTATTTCATTATCAATCTAAATAGTATATTATGCAGGTTTCCATCTTGTGTCATGGCATATGAAAGGCAGGCAAGTCACCAGTAGTCATTGAAGCCATGGACCGTACCAATTTATCAGACAGAAATGCTGTGTTTGTAGCTGGGGCTGTAGCACAAGCTCTTGGACACGATATTGCAGACATGTCGTTTTCTAGGAGTACGATTCGAAGGTACAGAGCAAGTGGGCGTAAGCAAGCAGCTGAAACAGACCGAAAATCATTTTCTCCAGATGAACCTCTTCTCCTACATTGGGACGGAAAACTCCTTCCTGACGTACAGAACACAACTGCTAGTCGCATTGCCATTGTGGTGACATTTAATGGACAAGAGAAGCTGCTAGGAGTACCCAAAAAAGAGAGAGAAACTGGAGAAGCACAGGCCGAAGCATGTTTGGAAGCAATTAAATCATAGAATGTTGAGAAATTGGTTAAAGGACTTGTATTTGATACTACTGCTTCCAATACAGGATTACATCGTGGAGCATGTGTCCGCATTGAAGATGAACTGGAACAGGAACTTGTTTGGATAGCATGCAGACACCATGTGCTAGAAATTATGCTAAGCGATGTCTTCAGTTTGATCTGTGGGTCAACTGGAAGTCCTGAGACTATTCTGTTTAAGCGCTTCAAAAAGCAGTGGAGGTCCATTTCGCTCAATGACTTCATTCCAGCACCAGAAAGCATGTTTGAGGACCCAATGCTTCAAATTCTAAGGAAGGAGTTGCTTGAATATTTGCCAGTAGCCCTGCAGGATAATCAGCCACGAGATGATTATAGGGAGTTTCTAGAAATAGCTCTTTTGTTTCTTGGTGGACTGCCAAGTAGTAAGGTTTCCTTTCGAGTTCCTGGTCCTACACACCATGCAAGATGGATGGCAAAAGGAATCTATGCTCTCAAAATCTATCTGTTCAAACATCAATTCACATTATCAACACGGGAAGAAAACAATATCACACAACTGGCTTTGTTTGTGAGCATAATGTATGTGAGATTCTGGCATGAAGCACCAATGGCTGTTCGAGCTCCATTCAATGATTTGCAGCTAATGAAGGTTTTAAAGGAATATCCTCATGAGAAAGTTGCACACGCAGCACAAGCAGCAATTAGCCGACATCTCTGGTATCTATCAGAACATCTTATCGGTCTAAGCTTATTTGATGACAGGATCGATACTGAAACCAAGAAGAATATGGTACAAAACTTCCAGTGCCCAAAGAAACAGGACTTTTCAAGGCGTATTGTCCTATCTGATGAAACTCCTATCAGTAATGTGGCCTCATTTGTTACTGAGCGTACATTAGATATTTTTGATGTTCTTACACTAGATGGCAAAGAAAGAGCACAACTGTTCTTGAGTAAGGATCCCAAAACATGGAAAGACGATGAAGTGTTTATCACAATGAGAGATCGTGCGATAAATATGAAGGTGGTGAATGACAGCGCAGAGAGGGCAATTGCTCTCATAGAGCGTTATAAAGAGTCTATAACGCAAAATGAGGACCAAAAGCAGTACCTTTTACAGGTTGTTGCAGCTCATCGCAAGAAGTTACCAACGGCAAGCAAAGCTGCTATGATGAAGGGATACAAATAAAGAATGTGTATTGGTGTTCTAGAGTTATTTAGTTTGTAATTTGTAAAACTTATAATTGTATTTTGCTGAATAAAGACAATGTGTTTATAATGTGTTTATCTAGCCCCGAAAAATCCTTATTACGTACTAAATGGAAAAAAAGAGGACATTGGATTGACCTCTAAATATGCTTTAAATGATCCAATTTTTTTCTGGGATGCATTTTGTACCTAATGGACAAAAATAAACCTTGTGGAGAAAACGTATACAAATATGTGATATTTTGTGTGTGTGTGTACATAATATAATTGTATGAATATGAATATTTTGTATTTACGATAATTTAGCCAGTGTTTAAAAATGTTATAATAAGGTATTATAGTAAGAGGGTTTACCACACAGTATAACCTCAAGTGACTCACTGTTGTCCTTTCTCCCGCAGAAGATGTGAGCGATGAGTAAGCCAGATCCCCTCCTTCAGTCCTCAGCCACCCCGCCACCGACACCATCACCCAAGGCCCTGCTTCTGCCTCTGTTTCTTCTGATTCTCTTCTGCTGCGCCCCTGCTGGATCTGCTTCTGCTGGTGCCGACAAGCAGAGATCATGGGGCGCAGCAGAATCACCAGCAGGCAGCGGCAGCGGCTTAGAGGTCACAAGTACCTACTGGAGTTCTGCCAGTGAGTTTTACCGCAGAGTCACAATCGGGTCGGGAGATTTAATGGACAGTGAGATTACTGTAGTCGAAGAAAAGGTGTTACCTGACGCTCTAGAAGACAGTGATGGTACTTTGTTTATTGTCCGCGCAGCCTTACCGCCGCCCAGTGAACCTTTAGTGCCAGAGTCAGAGATACGTAGTCCAGATGACAAATACGTCATTATCAAGCGCTCTGACTATCATGGACTCTCACAGGACTGGCCTCATCCAAGTTTGGATAAAGAAGGAAAACTCTTTTCTGCAAGAACAGTCTGGAGTCAAGTAGAAAAATCCAAAGGACATGATCTGTTTGAGCAAAGAAACTGGGGTCAAGAGGGTGAGAAGTTTGAACAAGTATCGAGCGAAGATAAGAGCAGTGGCGAGCCTCGACACGGGTCCTCCATTACAACAACGGTGGGAAAAAAGCGGGAAGTGGCCATTGTTAAGGAGAGAGAGACCCATTTAAGACCAAGAAAGTGGGAACAACCCAGAAAAAATAAAGGTGGAGGGAGAGAGCAGGAGGTTCAGAAACCCGGTCCAGGCGAAACATTGCCACTCGGAACAGACAGACACATTACATCAGACCACAGCAAAAGGAATTTTGGTCGAGCTTCAACCACACTGTCGGGAGATTCTCATGACAATGTTCTCCGTGACCGTCCTAACACAGTGAGAGTCACCCGTGGTTTGGGTACACAGCACAGCAGTCCAGAGATTTCAGGACTCTATACCTCCGGTTCCAAACGTGACGAGCATACCAGTGTCGATATCTTAGGTTTACACAACATTCCGAGTGCCACCCCTGTCGCAACTCAGCCTGGGGAAACTTCACCTGCGTCGTCTTTACGAGACACCGCTCGCCTGGCGATGGGTGTGCCGATTGGCGGCAAGCCTGAGAACCAAGCTGATGGGTGGCACACCGGCGTTGGGGGAGACGACCACGCTGGTGGGTGGCACACGGGCATCAGGGGAGACAACCACGCTGGTGGGCAGCACACGGGCATCGGAGGAGACGACCTTGCAGGTGGGTGGCACAAGGGCATCGGAGGCGACGACCACACTGGTGGATGGCACACAGGTGTCGGGGGAGAAGACCACGCTGGTGGGTGGCACACGGTGGGGGACTTGCAACCAGCCTGGGAGACCTTCCAAGAGGATGATCGCTCATTAGACTACCATCATCAACACGATGACATGATAGAGTCAACTGTGGACCAGGGAGATCAAACCTGGCCCTCTGGCGGTGATGATCATGACCACTGGCCCTCTGGTGGTGCTGAGCACAGCAGCTGGCCCTCTGGCGGCACTGATCATGACCAATGGCCCCCTGGCAGCACTGATTACGACAACTGGCCCACTGGCGGTGCAAGGTATGACCACTGGCCCTCTGGTGGCGCTGACCACGACAACTGGCCCCCGGGAGCCATACACGGTGGACCAAGGATACCCCATCTGGGACCTGGACCTCCTGGCCTCACCACGTAAGTAATACTCTACTGTTGTCTATTACTACGTACTACTTTGCTGTAAGCTGGCTGTAAAAACCTGTTTTCTCTTAGCTGGATGTACTCTAATGTTATCTGTTAGCTGGGTGTACTTTACTGTTTTCTGTTAGTTTGGTGTACTCTACTTTTGTTTGTTAGCTGGGTGTACTGTACTGTTGTCTGTTAGCTGGGTGTACCCTACTGTTGTCTGTTAGCTGGGTGTACTCTACTGATTTTTTTTAGCTGGATAAACTCATTTGTTGTCTGTTAGCTGGGTATACTCTACTGTTGACTGTTAGCTGGGTATATACCCAGCTAACAACAACTGTTGTCTGTTAACTGGGTATACTCTTCTGTTGTCTGTTAGGTGAGTATACTCTGCTGCTGTCTGTCAGCTGGGTATACTCATTTGTTGTCTGTTAACTGGGCATACTCTACTGTTGTCTGTTAGGTCGATATACTCTACTGTTATTTGCAAAGTTAGATATAGTCAACTCAATATTTCATTGTTGATGGGTATACTCAATTCTTTTAACACAGATGTAAACAAAACGTTAGTCTTTTCACAAGTACTTTACCAAAATTCATGGTATAACAGTGCATAATATAACATGAATTTAGATAGACCTGATGTACTTGATATACTTATGATATGGGCAGTTGAACACGACTCATAAACTCTTTTTAAAAATTCTCACTTATCGAAGTAGACAACAGTATTCCTAAAAATTGTATTAAACACGTTCCATAATTTACTCTGTATATATTTAACCTCACCCTGCCAGGACTCGAACCCATGATCTTATGCTTATGACCGGGGAACGTTACCTCTAGACCACCAGGACACTGAAAGCAGTCCTAGACTTAGGTCATTAGAGTAACGTTTTGCCAAATCCGGTTTCGAAGCCGGATTTGGCAGAGGTAATGTTCCCCGGTCACAAACATAAGATCGTGGGTTCGCGTCCTGGCGGGGTGAAGTTGTTTATTATATGTAGAAGTCCGCGCGCTTTATGGGCAAATGAAATATATATGGAACCTCGTGTTTCGAAGCAGGATTTGGTAAAACGTTACTCTGATCACCTAAGAGGAACGGGTAGTCCCCAATTGGAGATTCATGGCGCCATAAGTTCGATGAACAGGATTTGTGTGAAATATAACAAAGTCTAGGGCTGCTTTTAGTGTCCTGGTGGTCTAGAGGTAGCATTCCCCGGTCACAAACATAAGATCTTGGGTTCGAGTCCTGGCGGGGTGAGCTTGTTGATTATATGTAGAAGTCCGTGCACTTTATGGGCTAATGAAATAAATATGGAACCTCGTGTTTCGAAGCCGGATTTTGTAAAACGCTACTCTGATCACCGAAGAGGCACGGGTAAATCCCCAATTGGAGGTTCACCCGGGACTTGGTCACATTATTCGTGATGCCATATGGCAGCAGGGTCTACCATTAGACAACACATCATGCTTTCAATATCTTCTCAGGCGGGTAGTACCTCCCTGTTTGATAGCTGTCTATTACCTACTACCTAAAACGCACACACACACACACATGTTCTACTGTCACTTTTAGTTTATCGTCTTATAGAGGGATCTCACCACTAATACCTGTGAGTAGAGCTGGTTAGTCCCAGTAGAACACAAGCATTATTTTGGGTATATATATGTAAACCTAATGAAAGTTACTAGTGTGCCCTGAGGAATGCAGTGATGGCTAGGGAAACACTGAGTAACACTGAGTCCGTTTATTATGGATGAGAGAAATACAAGTGGTGACTCGCGTGTGCCATGCACGGCTCACACAGTCAGACTGAGGCTGCCTTGCCATATGGCAGCCTCGGGGCAATGTTGCCACATAACACGTGCAGTGTTGCCACGTGATTATATATATAAATGCTATTCGGCACAGTAGCTTATGTACAAGGTTGCTACTCCGCACAGTAGCTTATGTACAGGGTTGCTACTCGGCACAGTAGCTTTGATACATAACCTACACCTAAAGAGTCGTTTTCTGTTTGATTGTAAAACTAGTTCTCTGCACAATTGAAGTGTGATTAATATCATAGTAATTACACAATGAACGTGTAGCTTATGAGAGTATAAGAAGCTAATATGGGAGATTCTGATTACACTTGACTGGATGATGTGAGATATCGAGTATAACTGGTTGTAAACTGTTGACCTATGCAGGGCAATGGAGCACAGAGGTCATTTGAAAGTCATTGAGGTTACGTGACCAATACGTCACGTGCATAAGTAGTACTACACACTTGATTAGTGTATAAGTGCCGCCTCTTCTGATGATTAAGTGGTAGCCTATCCTGGTCGAATGGTAGCCCAGTTTCCTCACTTATTCACTGAGGGGTCCAGATGTATTTCCACTCTGCTTCTGGTGGGTCTCCTGCTTAAGTCTCAAAATAGTACTTGACTGTAGAGGTTAAGTATAGTCGTGTGACTATATAACTTAGAGTATATTAATATCAAGTACAGAGTTGCTGGGATAGGTTGTTATTAGACAAGACCCGGCTGAAGACTGACTGATTAACTATCCTCCCGGTACACTCGTCGTTTGGGGCAGGATATTACTCAAGCCTACTCAACGTGTGGCAATGGCCCAGGTGTTTTCAGTCTACATTAGGAATTGTAAACGATGGCATTTACCAAGTGACTAAAAGGCGACACTCGGGCGGGGGGCGCTTGAATGTTTATAAAACACCAATAAGGCGACTTCCCGCTTGGGAAAGGGGGGGGGGGGTGCACCCGTCCCACGAACACATTAATAACTCAATAAAACTGGTCGTTAAAGACACCAATAATGGTTTGTTGCCAATAGCTATTGTGAATTAAGCTCCTGCACTTGGCAATGCGCGGCTTACAAGAGTCTAATTACCGTGGGTGATGTAATCATATAAACATTATGTATTTAAATAAGAATTACTGTCTATTAGACAGAGGCTAACTCACACACACACACACACACCTAGTAGCTTACCTCATCATATCTAATGGACAGATAGATGCACATATACTAAGATAGAACGATAGAACATATAGATAGTTAGGTAGGTACGGCAAAATAGCTTAACACTCATATGTGGACAGATGAGAAGATAAAATCATATACTGACTGGTAGATAGATAGGAATAAAAAGATGGAAAGGAAGTATAATTGCCTCTGTCAACATATTGACAATAGTACTTATATAAATCAACATGTAGCATAATTATGCATAATTTACACGACCTGAATTAACTAGACAAATAGAAAATAAACATAGCTTCCCACGTTTTTGGATGACATTCCCTTCTACTACACTCACTTGTGATGTGCACAGGTGATCACCAAGTGCCCAGTGCCCTGTATCTCACACGCGACAGACGTGTTAAAGGAGCTCTGTAAATTATCTCCTATATTCTCTCGTAAAAGGAAAGTTGCCTATTATTGGTTAGATCGTCACTGATAACAATTGGGTGTGCCATATTTTATTAATACAAAAATAAAAGCTAGATGGTGTTTGTATGAACAATAAGAATTGTGAAACAACTACAAAAAGAGATTACAACGATAATCCAACAGTATCTACAAGAGTTACAGATACCAGCTGGATGGAACACCGGCTAGTACAAGGTGACTAGAAGATAGAATTACCTGACATTCCACCACTAGTTATATCGATGTTATCAGGTGGAATACCTAACATCCACGCCAGGAACATGACGTGATAATTGGTGAGATATCATTGCCTGGAACACAGGTGACTGCGTAACAACACCTGGTAATAAGATTTAGGTAGATAGGTAGAGACAGAGAGAGATAATTAAGCAGATAGATAGATAGATAGATACATAGAGTCATCACACACTCTAAACCAATCACCACACACTCTAAAATAAATCACCATACACTTCAAACCAACCACCACACTCTAAAGAGTCTAAACCAATCACCACACACTCTAAAATAAGCCACTACACACTCCAAACCAATCAGCACATTAATCCAACCACACTCTAAACCAATCACCACACACTTTAAATCACACACTCTAAAACCCAGTTACATCAGACATATTATAATTAATTTAGAGTATGTGAGATGTAACTTTACCTTACTCCTATACTTAAGTCTCCTACTTCATTCTGGCCTAATTGTTTACTCTCGAGACGTTAGTATCTTACTCTCTCACAATCTCTCTTTGTATGAATAAGATTAACTCAGTATCTCTCACAAACTCATTTCGTAGTAATAAGACTATCTTAGTCTCTCTCTCTCTCTTACCTCCTAGGAATAAAAATTACAATATCTCTAGCGCCGCGTCTTAGAACCTCTCAACTTACTGAAATAAGATACAAGTTGTTTAATAAAGGATTAGTTAGTATGATAAGACGTCCCATTGACCCGTGTGATAAACTAAAGACATTTGATACTAAGATGGAGGTAAACTTAATTAATGTGATCGTGTTGTTTAGCGATGATTTTTTCTTTTAATTCATTTTTGGGGAATTTTTTCTGGGGGATTTTTTTAGGAAATTTTTTCTTGGGGGTAATTTCTTGGATTTCTTGTATACTGGGGATTTTAAGAAGGTTGTCTTCTTTTTTTCTTGGGGGAAATGTTCTTACTTTGGGATGATTTTCTTGTGCTTTGATGGATTTTGGGGCGATTTTCTTAGTTTGGGAGGTATTTTATGTTATTTTTATTTGTTATTAGAGATTGTTCTGTTTTCGGAATCTTCTTGTTCTCGGGGGATTATATTAGTTTGGGGTTATTTCCTTCAATGATGATTTTCTTAATGTTCTTGTATAACTAAATGAACTGATTACATATATTGAGAATTAGGATTATTGATTTCATTATTGATTAGGTTAGGTCTTTCGTCTTCTTCTTTTTCTTCTTCTCTCTCTCTCTCTCTCTCTCTCTCTCTCTCTCTCTCTTAATTTGTTTATTTGTCTGTCCGCTTATATATATATATATATATATATATATATATATATATATATATAT